TCTTTCTTAACTGCGGAATTAAATTTATAGTATTCTTTAGCATAATTTTCTACTCTTACTTTCTGAAGACGAAATTTGCTGAACGAATTAAAGAAGCTAAAAATGAAAGATTCTGTGGAATATTTGCTTGTGTAAAAAGAAGTGGAGATATACGAAAAAGAAGATTTAAATAATATTACTTGGTCTAGTTAAATAGTATGACTTGGTTCATAAATAATAATGTTTAACAAGTATTACTTGGTGGTATTTAATGAACTATTAAATGAATTTAAGAAATTTACAGATTGTAATAACTAAAAAACAGTGAAGCAGTAACAAATTATCATATTCTCTCCGCTATTGTTTTGATCTGAAGTTAACATCCGAATTTTGAAAATTCTTTCTACAACAGCAAAATAATAGATTTTTAAATATAAATTGATTAAGAATGCTAAACTTTTCACATTGTGAAATTCATCTTTTAGCACATTTTTATCATTAAATGTATTTAAAGTTAATCTATGTTATTAATAGATATAATCTATACAGAACTCTGTTTAAAATTTTAGACTTACCAGTAGGTTAAATTTTGTCTAGAAAATTTATTTTGTCACATAATTTAATAAATCCAGTAATTACCCATATTTGATAATTCAACATTACAGAAGCCTCCATCTTGAAATTGTACGTTTATTGCATTTTATGTAACCGGATCCCATAAGACGTTTTAAGACATAAGCACGTTTTAAGGATGAGATATTAATTTGTCCCGTCAGCTAAGTGTAAGTTCATTTTCGTCTCAAACTTCGATTTTTATTTTCTAAATAGGCGAGCCCTTTTTCTGCTCACAGTGAAACACAAATCATGAGGTTTTTCTATCGTAAAGGAATTTCTTCGTATGTATTTTGATATGATACAGAATTTCTATAACAGCTGCAAGTTCTAAATTCATTTACATATCTGTCAAGCTACTTTGACGATGGCATTTATGAATAGAAACTGTGATAGCAATAGAAAATAGTCTTCAGAAGCAGCGCTTTTCTTTTACGATCTTAACCTAGCTTAGCAGCTATTTGAACGACCTAAAATTGTTTCCAAAATACAGAAACTACATCCTGAAGTATTCAGCCATCAGGCCACTTCAATAAGTGTCTGACTTACTCATAAACTGCCGACACATATCCAACTAAAAGACCTTTTTCTGATATTTCAACACCGTAACACGATAAACACTGAAATTAAACTAGTAATTGCAGAAACTTGCTGGGGTATGTATTTGTGCATGGTTATTTCCTCATCTTTGGATGACTTCATGTCATTATTTACCTTTCACAAACGGATTGGTCAAACCCTGTTAGATAATAATTAGATAATGATAATTAGATTTGTTTCATTTGCCTCTTCCTTGAAAAATAAATCAAATCAAAAGATTACTTCATGACACACACACACATATATATATAATAATTCAGGACAACATTGTATATCAGTTAGCTACTTCTTGTAATAATACTATTGGATTAAATACATTATCCATAATGAAATACAGAGCTTAAAATAATGTTCTGTACAGTTTTATAATGAATGTGTATTTTAAAAATCTTTTAGCACAGTTTCCGAAAAAAAATCTGTTATGTAATATTTAAATGAAAGCTCAATTAAATTACACAGGGAAAAAATAGTTAAATCTGCCACTTTCTTTTAACTGATTTTTGGCCTCTGAATTCAAAAATAACCTCAGGTTTGTCTATCACGTCACCTTTTAAGCTACGAGATACCCACTCACTCTCCCAAAAGTCACACAAAATATGCATATAAAGGAAAATAAAGAGAAAAACCTACCAAATATACTGTTCAGAAAGAATATTTTTATTCATGCAAAGGCTATATATAGATACGGAAAGATATGGATACTGATATATATATAATATGTATATATAAACATATATCTTGCATAGCTTGATATATATATATAAATATATCTACATATTATATATATGTGTGTGTGTATTTCTTTTGTTTCCATCACATCGGGAAATTTTTGGAAATCATAGATTTAAATTCAGATATTATATTACTTTGTATTTTTCCTCATTTGGCAGGAGAGTTTTATTCAAAAATACGAAAGAAACGAAAAGCGATCACATTACAATTATGTCTCATGTCCCGGAATTTTTAACTTTTAATTTTCTTTTAACAATTCCGTTTTTTAAATTAGCCTTTATTTGGTTCTGCAACCTTTTCCCGGAAAAAGCAATAGGTAGACTTTTATAACTTTTGGAACAAAAGTTGTATTTAATTTACGTTCCGACTTTTACTTTTATTGATTTACTATCAATATATATATATATATATATATATATATATATATATATATATATATATATATTATCATTATTATTATTATTAGCTTTTCAATTATATATATATATATAATTGAAAAGCTAATACGTACTGTGCTTTCCCATTATATATATATATATATTTCTCTCTAAAAATAATAATAACCTTTCCTGGACTGTATTATTTCTAGATTAATCCACATCATATGACTTTAACACAACGATGATGAAATAGCTAATTTGGAGCTCAATATTTTGAGAACTGAAACTTTCTCTTTATAAGCGTCCATACTAAAAAACTCCGCACTTTTCTTCTACTTTCTTCTTTTCCGCTAAGGTGCTGTTGCGCTGCTTTCTTCCTACGTTCTTTTTATTCCTTCAATCGCCGTAGTATCAAAAACTGAAATATTCTGGAAATAAGCACGATCAGAAATGTCAACTGATTTATGTCTGCAAATGTCATTTCAATTAAAACTGAATATTTAATCTGCCTCGTCTGCCAAGTTGCTGTTCATATTTCGAGTCTACGGCTCAAATTATGCCTAGCTATTACATTTTGTAATCTTTGGTGAGAAATTTACGGAAAAATTTAAAAATTTATCTTGGCGAATTTTTTTCAGTTTGCGTCAAGAATAATTCATTTGGCGAACTTCCTAATTTATAGCGACCTATTTTCCTTTCCTTTTCCTTCATTGTCCACGAGCGGAAAAAAAGTCATCGTTCGTACTTTCAAATAATTTTAACAAAGTGCGTAAAACACACTTTCGTTATTATCGCTTAGAATAAATACGTCTAATTTCAAAACGCGCCAAAATGAAAATTCACGTACATCTCAGAAAATGTTGGTCTAAAAACTCTAATTTCTTGCAGGTATGCTTAGAAAAACATCTACTTTAAGATGATGGCAAAACTTTTATAGGTTATAAATTAAAAGTCTTTCAAAAAATTTATACAAATTATTTAAAAATACAAATTTTAAAAGTAAATCATAAAAAATAGGCGAATTGTATTTGTAATGAACCTAAATTTCGAAATATGAAAGGAAGAATCAAATAAGTTTAGTAAAAAAAGAGATAATAAGAATATATATTAAATTCAATTAACACGGAGGAAGTAAAATTTTAAAAGCTAATTTTTTAAAAACTACACTTACGATTTTTACAAAACTTGGTAGTTTGGCATAATTTGAGTTGTAAGATCGAAATATGGAAATATATAAATATATACAAAGGAAAAGCAGTTCGAAAACTAATCTAATTTTGCACTGAAAGTAGCAAAGTCATGGTAATAATGAAAAATAAATTAAAATAAATACGTTTAAAAATCTCATATTCGAACAAGCAAGGGTTTGCTCCGAATTGAATATGAGATAGATTTAAACATATTTATTTTAATTTATTATGACAGTCATTCATATATCTGATCGATTTAAACATATTTATTTTAATTTATTATGGCAGTCATTCATATATCTGATAGATTTAAACATATTTATTTTAATTTATTATGGCAGTCATTCATATATCTATCTGTCTATATATGACCACAATCTGCGTGTTATTTTAGAGTTTTAGCATTATCAAAAATTTATTTCTTATGTAAACCATAATGCACACAGGAAATACGTATTGTTAGGCAATGGAAATACATATCACGTGGCATTAAAAGAAATGTTCTTAGTCATAATAATAGCATAAATTCTAATAACGCATGCTACAAAATGTCTACGAAGAAATGCAGAAGTTTTAAATGATTCATTTTGCTACACCAGTGAACAAAGCAATTTCACAGTGTGGAAATAAAGAATAATAATATTTTAAAGGTTTATATATGTTACGGTGAAACACCGAGTCAACATTCATATAGTCGCTTGGTGTATGTCCGAAATATTTTCCAAATACTCTTATTTCTGACTTACACCGGTAAATGTCGACATTCACCATGTACTAATAGTGAATGTTAAACATATAAGAATATTATATTTCCTTCTCCGTAATTCATTCGTGAAAACACGCACTTGGGACTCAGAATAAGAACTTAAGAACATAAGAACTTAAAACATACAGTACATTCAAAATGAGAAAGGAAAATAATAGAAGTTATAAACTTACCAAATTATGTGATTCAAATCTTATTTATTGCAACAACTTAAACTATTATGACACTTTGAATTGCACAAGAGGCCCTTGCTTTTACAACTGCATTTATTTGTGGAACACTTCCTTTTGGAATGGCAGCGTGTACATATACTCCTCTCTTTTCGACCTACACCAGAGCATATCTGTGATTGTCGACATACACCGGTGAGGGTCCGAATGTACAAGAATGTAAAGAAATATTCGATCTTTCACCGACGTATTTGGTGAATGTTGACATTCTCCGGTGAAAGTCGACATTCTCCAATTTCGGTCTTTCACGGTAACATATATATATTTAACAACTTTGTGCTTTGCCAAACCGTGACTTTTCAGTCTTCAGTGTGAAATATCAAGTGAAAGCACCAGCAGTTCGTTTCATATTGATCAAAAAGCGTGCGATATAAATAGTATGTTTGTATCTTAATAAATTATCACTGAAAACAGAAGTCACGTATGAAATGCTGAGCATAATGCATAATATAACAACAGATGTAGTAGTGAAGACTTGTATATATGCATGAAGCAATAACAAAGCATGAAATTAAAAAAAGTACATATATTTTTAAATAAGTTTAACGTCAGAGAAATTTCAAAAAACTTGTTACAAAAGAAAAATTCGAAAGTATTATATTTAAGTAAGGAAAATTCTTTTCCCTAGTAGCAATTCATTGCGCTTGCCATACATTTCTTCCACTTTCAAATAACTCGCCTTCACATTCCTCACACTTTTCTGAGTCATTTCCTAAAAATTCAACCTTCCTGTTATGAAATTTCCTAATGCACTCGGATCATCCGAAGTATAATACTCAATAGCCAGTTCACAGAAATAAGCAAAATCCAATGGCTTTGTGTCGTTCTGAAAGAATAGCAATTTTTTGAATTAAGTACAAAAGCTTTGATTATTTCAATAAATATACATGAATTAATGTTTTAATAAATTATCTAAAAATAATTCAATAATTTATTTTTCTTTTAAATCAGGCTAAAAGCCAGCAAATTGTAAACAATAATAAATTTACTTATAAAAGTAAGAAATCTCTTAATTATAGCTACAATAAAATCCAGTTATCCAGTTGCAACATATAGGGAGGTATATTTATCCGAATTGAATTGTTTCCAGTAAAATGAAGATAATCTAGCATAAATTTGCATATTTTAATAACTTTTCCGTAGAATTAAGTAACATTTCAATTTTTTGGATTTAAATGGATGTCAGATGTAGTACCAGTTTATATTTGAATAAGAGAAATAGTTCAGTTTTTTAATTCTTGGAGATCCAAGTCAATGTATACTTAGCAGAATTTTATGATCCTGGCAGTTGCTGTTTGCAGTGATAGTTAATATAGCAAATTATTAGAGTATTTAATATAACAAATTTATGGAGGTTATTAGAAATGTATTAGATCAAAGTTTATTAGATTAGCAGATTATTAGGTCAAAGCATTCGACAATATTGGGGTAAAAAAGTAGTGTCGAATGCTTTTGTCATGGGTTTTGTGGTTTTTTTAAATATACAGAGTTATTCGAAAAGAAAGAGCAGATTGCAAACATGTATTTCTTCCAAACTACAAAAAATAGAAACATGATTCTAACGTTAATGGGTAGAGAAAAGTGTACAATTTAGTACAGGTAAAAGTTCCAATCATGGCTGCATTGGCGCTGTTGTTTGTTTTGGTATTATTTGTCGGTTGGTAGTCTGTAGTGAAATGGCAGCGACACCACAGCAGAAGTCTTTTTGTGAGGACGCACCAGGAAAGAACTGGAACGCAACAGCACAGAGACCTGCACCTTATTTACCACCGCATGCAACAAATTAAAGCTCACGATCTCCATAGGAAACTCGTCAGCAATAATAATTCCCACACGAGGTACCAATCCAACTCGTAGTCCATGCATAAAACTCCTAGGCCGAAACATCAAAATTGTGCGGAATCTCAAGTATTTAGGGGTAGTATGGGACTAAGGTCTCACCTGGATTCCGCATATCATGGAAACCAGAAACAAGACGTCAATTATCGCCCGCATAGCAAGACAATTTCAAGGTCGCAACTGGGGCCAAAACCCCCACATTCAAAAAGTGCTATACCTCACAGTTGTAGAAAAAATAGCTTTATACGCTGCAGTGATCTGGGCGCAGCCAATGGAAGCGTACTCGCAAGATCAGGCAACTTACAACGCTACAACGCCCCTTCGCCCTGCAATTAAGCAAAGCCTACCGCACAACCACCACCAATGCAGCAAGAGTTCTAGCCGGCATATTACCACTCCATATAAAAGCAGAGATGGAGGCAACTTTCACTAAATTGATCCACCTACTCAAAGATGCAACTTTCGCAAATACCAGCTACAGTCCGGTCCAGTTTGAACGTCCCCTTCACTTCTACCCATACTCCATCCAGCTTCTCAGAGGAAAGTGGAAATCCACATCAAAATTGACAAGCAACAGACTCACACCCTCGACACACGCACCACAGAATTGGGGACCAGATCTACACAGATAGATTCAAAGCAGGAGAATGGTGTAGGCAGTGCTTTTGTGCACTATGAGAATGGCAAAACTTGTAATACGACTGGCAAAAACAACTTTGCACTCCCAATAGCATCTTCCAAGGCGGAAATACTGGGAATTACTGGCAGCAGTGCAACATCTCATAGATTGCCAGATCCCACGAAGCAAATATCTATACCGATAGCCTTTCAACTTTACTTGCACTGAGAACCATCATCATGTCTCACCTCTCATACTCAGTCTCCAATATCTTCCTTATGCAACACCCTCATTACCATCTCAGTCTCGTCTGGGTTAAAGCCCATGCGAATAATGAGGGAAACGAGGCTGCTGACACGTTGGCCAAAGATGCAATTTCCAACCGACAGCCCAACCCATCACCGTACCTGCGCCCTGCACTTATCTAAAGGGTCTCCTACGAGAGCAAAGGAATGCACCAATGGCAACGTGAGTGGACCGAATGCGAGACAGGCAGACGGACTTTCACTACTCCCGAAAGTTTCCAATCGACTCTTTGCCGTAGCACCTCTCACCTACTTCATCACGGGTCACGGCCCGTTTCCCAGCTATTACAATCGCCACGGCATCTCAAATACAGATATCTGTGTCTGTGGATCAGAAGGGTCACCAGACCATTACGTATTTGAATGTCTTTTGACGGCTGCACACCATCTTCCGGTACCTACAAATAATAGGATCGCCTATCGCCGGTTCCTTATAACACATAAAGGAGCGGTTAATTCAATCTCCAGCATCATGAATACCATCGCGGCATTGGGCACAGACCTTTGCCTACCGTGCTAAAATGACGCTATGGTGTACTGACGATAGCTCTAAGACTAGTCCAGTGAATTTTACAATATCTGGGCTTCACCACACTGTGTGTTTAAGCTCCCCTGCCCACAATCTAAAGTGGCAATACTAACTATTCGCAAATATGTGGCATCTCCTTAGAGAGTTGTTATGCCTCCATAATGTACGTGTGTTATCCCTTCAAAAGCATGTGAACAACATCTTTTACGCAGTGTTAGTGAACGCTTGTGTGCCTCACGGTGCCACATTGCTGGGGCACTGCCCAATAATTAGTGCTACAACATCCTCGTGCCTTTTATCAGTGTTTTTATCTATGTTCTTAGCGATGCTACAAAATCAACGCCTTAGCAATCTAACCGCACTTTCTTCTGCACACATGAGTATTCATGAACTCATCATTCAAGATGTACCTGTATTTATATCCAACAGAATGCCTTACACTAACTGTGCTCCAGCTTTCATGTGACTTCATGTACTCCATTTATCTTTTTGTGCTTAAGTGACTAGTGTATGTACCTGTTTTTTGTGCTCTGTTTATGCATTTTACGCATTGTGCTTTGTGTATTGTTGCCTATGCATTTTTATGTTTTTTTTATGCGTACGTCTTATTATCCAGTATTTTTAGTTTAACTACCTACTATCTGTAACACCACAGCTGCCTCTTCAAACTGTATACAATCCTACTAATGCCTTGTAAGGCCATGTACTTCCCTTGGACAACCTCATAATCTCCTGGTGCAGCTCGTGTGGGTTCCAGGAAGCTTTTGCCGTAGTTAGAGGAGGGTTTGGAACACATGCCTGTTTACCTCTGTTAGACACCAGGCGTTCCAGTCCTCCGTAACCTACCTACCTACAATTGGCAAAACTATAGTCCATTGTTGCAGTTCAGCGAGCATTTCGCCGTCAATTTAATAAACAACCACCGCGTCATAAGCAAATTTACGAGTGGCATCGAAAATTCGTAGAAGATGGTTGCATCTGCAAAGGGAAAAGCACGTACATCGAACAACGAACGAGAATGTCGAGCGTATTCGTCGTACACTTTTTTAAGAGAGGAGCTCAAAGAAATCCACATCGCGAGCAAGCAAAGAACTTAAAATTCCTCAATCAACGAGTTCTAAAACATCGTCTGCACATGAAGCCACACAAACTGCAGTTATTGAATGCTTACATAGAATGCATAACATAATTCTAAACGTTTCTCTATCCATTAACGTTAGAATCATGTTTCTATCTTTTGTAGTTTGGAAGAAATAAATGTTTGAAAATTTGCTCTTTCTTTTTGAATAACCCTGTATTTTAGTTGAAAAGCTCAGTAAATGAATCCAATTTTTACACTCAAAGTAGATTTATAAATCTATTCCTAGTAGTGAGACAATGCAAAAGTAAGTCTATTTATGTAAAACTTCATTAAAAATAACAAATATGGGGCTGAAAATTAAACAAAATTGTGTTTACCAGAGTCATCATGACGTAGCATTGCCTTGATTGCCTTTCTGGTATTCCAAAGTTTTCTAATATATAAGCAAATTCCTCCACATCTATAGCCCCATCACCTAAGTAGTACAAAAGCGTAAATTTATTTTTGAAATAACCTACATCCCTGTAAAATTACTGTAATTTCTGGAAGCGTAGCAATAACAAAACAATAATAATAATAATAATAATAAAATAAATAAATAAAAAGTGTAAATAATAGTTAAGGATAAAGCCAGAAATGGATAGGATGGACATCTCATTTTGTAACTCATATCTTACTGTGGATGCATAATTTTCATAAATTTTTACAATAAGCCTGAATGGGATTTTTAGTCCAAAGATTAATTTAAAATCTGAAACCTTTCAATATTTTTATTGTTATTATTTTTTGTTGTTGTTTTCTTTTTAAGAAAAAGTATACGTGTTTACCATTATGTAACAATACATTATATACATAATCTTATTCCATCAGATTATTAGAATCATGTGCCTTAGTAACGGGGATAAGCAAGACGAATAGAATCGGAGTTTTTTCCTGAGCTTGAGTCATTTTTGGAGGGGGCGGTTATTGATAGTCTGGACTCTAAGACTATTTTGTCTCAGGATTTTAATTCGCTGTCAAAAATGTAGCAGATTTGCGGGAACAGCTCACAAACACAGCTTATTGTTCCTCAATTCGAAACAAAACACGTAAGTAGCTAAGATCCCTTGCTGTGTAAAATATTCTGTACAGCGCGTGTTCGTTGATGAGTGTGAGAATTAGAGAAAGAAGGAGAAAAAATATATTCTTCTGCCTGCGACCGTTCTTGCCCTATTCGTTGTAAGTATTCAGAAATAATTACTTTCAATTCGGAGGTTGGGAGATGTATTTGAATTCTTTGCTTATAAGGATTAGACGCAGACAATTTTGCTAAATCGTCCACATTTTCTTTATTCCCACTCCCTGCAGATATCAGAACCCGAAATATATCGGTGTTACTTTCAGTGGGCAGTTTAAAAACACCCTCTGTATTTCTCGAGCAAGCGTGCTACGAAAACGAATACATTTTATATATTCCAGGCTAAAGCAGAGTTAGTGCTCACTGTTACAGCGTCCATACTTCTGTCTGCATAGTTAATAATTGCCCTCTTGGCACTAATTTGGCCTCAAAAACTGAACTTTTGTTGTGAAGACCGGCGTATTAAATATGAATTATTTTTGAATCTCGAAGCATGCATAAATGACCCTGTGCCTCTTTGGAAGACATAAATTATGTAATTGATATAGCGACTTAACCACGGTTTCTTAAAGAGGCTTGTAGACAGGTTGGCCGGGGGGCTAACTAGTTTACGCTTACTAACTGTAAGCTTTAACTATTTAGCTGGTTAGTGGGATATGGTAAACTAGTTAGTGAGATATAGGTCTTGCCATAAGGACTCATGACTCGCTTCAGTTTTATTGCTCCTGTGAAGACTACATAACCAGGTCTAACGGTAGAATACCGGCTAGAATTTCAAGAGAGGCGACTCAAATTTAAACATTTTATCCTCTCCAGATCTGAAGTAGAAATGGAAATTGGATGAATATTAAGAGGTTCCTTCTTTGAATCGTTAGGTGAGTGTTCTTCCAGGAGGAAGCCTATTGAGCTTGTTCTCCTCATGCTACTGAACATTAACATATAAGGAAAGTGATGAAATGCTTTTGATGTTCATAGTTTTGTGTAAGTTTTGCCACGTTATCAAAAATCGTTAATTTTTAATTTTGATTCTTACATTTTTATCTAATTATACTCACCCGCACTACATACTATTTATTCTAATATTTTAATAAAGACAAAACATTCGCGATTGCTGTAGTTTTTTTATTTTAAATTATTTATTATATTTAATTTTTCCAACTTTCTTTGGTAGATTAATACAGTATTTGAGAAAATTTGTGAGTGATGAGCAAAATAATTGATCAAATCAGAGGAAAAAAAAAGTTTAACTTTTCTTTGAAAAACATTGGTTCATTTTTTTAATATCAGAACTTAATTCTAGTTTCTGAATCTGAACTGAAAGAAAACTTTCAGTATCATGATGTTTCGAAATGGTCAGTATCATGATGAACTGAAAGATTGAAGAAAATTATCGAAAGTGGCATTAAAACATGTACCCGTAGTCATTACGCTAATTTTAGCAAATCTTGATAATGTTTTTATATGAAGCGTAGTTTGTGCGCGAAATAAAGCCATTGATGAATACGAAGGTCTAGTATACCCAGTGAAATTCCAATATTTAAACAGAGGAGAAGACACTAGCATAATTTAACGTACCACAACAGATTTCTAATAGAGAAAAGGGAAAAGTAAAAAAAAAAAAAAAAAAAGGTTATTAATTTTAAACCATTTTTGTTTGTTTTATTCACTCTTCATCCTGTGTTTAATGCTATATTTGAATTTGTTGTCAATGACTACGTTTCAGTTAAGTGTTATGGCCAATACTGATGTTGGTTATTCAGTGCTGGTATCATTATTGAGTTACTGTTTGTTGAGAAAGAAAACTTTCACTGACAATTAATTCCAATAAACTGTGAAAGAAATAATGCAGCTATCAGGCAGATATACCATGATATATCTCAAAAGAGATTAAAAACACGACCTATAATTTCACTATATACGAGGATATAATTGGAGATCCTCTGGAGATTGAAAACGCAATTGAAGTATATTGATTTTATAATGCATTATAACTCTTTTCAAATTGAGAAAATAACTGAGTCTATGCTCTATAGATGGCAGCACATTAAATTTCGAATTTTCGAATTACAATTCCTTCAGAAGGTATAGTGGAAATAGTCGCTTCAACTTATAACGTTGCGGAAACTCTGGAGGTACAAAACAAAACCATATTCATGATCTGTTCCAAATATTTTGATACACATATTTAATTATTCGTAGAAATATTTCATAATTTTAAGTACTTCTTTATGCGAAGTAAAGGAAACACTGTAATCGCGAAAAATTTCAGGTATTTTATCTCAACAGAGATATCCATTTGGACGATTTTTTTCGGGAATTCATTTGAACGATTGATTTACTATAGTAGATTCAAAATAGAAGTTTTCATGACGTCTGTATATGCAGATACGTTATGTATCAGCCTGTGTATATCTATATGTACTTTATATTGCAGAATTCAAAAACGATTGGCCACGGAACATTGAAATTTTTGTATATGAGACAGCTATAACATCTAGTTGTGCATCTCCCCTTTTATTGCAATAGGTAATACCAAACGTGTATATATATATATATCTGGAAATACAAATAACTTTTAAAAGGAAAATTTAAAATCCTTCTAAGAATTTTCACGCACCATGCCACCGAAAACTGGTCAGTAAATATATAAAGAAAGAAATTTAGAACCTCTTATGAAATACGAAGAAGCGAAGGAAAATGGTAAAACTACAATGTAAAATCATTAAAACTATCTTTCAGTTTAAAAAGATTTTGTTTCAAATTTTTCAGACAAGTAAGTTAATTTCAATTTCCTTCTGGCATTGTTTTTAAATTTGTATCTTAATAGCTACTTTAATTTTACGTATTAATATAAAAGAATATATAAATTTTGATTTTATTTTTGATTTTAAAATTAACATTTTAATATATCAGAAAGTATAAGTTTTATTTTTACTTTCGATTTTGAGTTTGATTATAAAAGAATGTTTTAATCTAAAATAATATTCTCATTTTACTTCTGATTTTAAAATTAACGTTTCAGTACTAAAGAATATATAAATTTTATTTTTCTTTTGCTTTTGAGTTTTATTATAAAAGGAAGTTTTAATCGAAAATAATATATTCATTAATCCATTTTTCTATTAATGTCTTCCTTTATGTATATTAATTTGTACAGATATCGATAGTTTTTTATTGTCTTTACAATATTATGAGAGTGTCAGGAAATATTTTTTTCTAAAGTACGGATCTCGTCTAATTCAGTTCTTAATGTTTTCCTTAAATTAAGGAGAATTTCTTACTCATTTTTATTTTAGATTTCGTTTATGATAAAAATATTTTAACTTAAGTAGACCAATAGCGCTCTAATAATTGAGTATTGTTCTTAACTTATGATCTAACTCTTGCAAAATAACTAATTTGATCCTTATTTGAAAAATAACGGAAAACTCTCACTTAATCTGGTTATTGCTAACTGATAGAGGATTGGTTTTTTCCCCTTGACAAGTCAATTAATCTGCTATCAGTGACAATAGCTACCTTTCCAGTACTTTGAATTTAATATTTGGAATTTTTACTGTCAAAGGATTTTTGGCTCTAGTGTAAAATTGTGTGCCCCTTTGATTAGAGATAATTTTTTTTTTTTTTAACTTTGGCGATGAAACCTCATTTCTGGTTACCATGCTAGTTTTAACTTTGCTTTAGCTTCCTGATTTTTTTTTTTTTTTTTTTTTTTTAATGAAAATAGATTGATGTGTACATGGACAAATTTAAGACAGTGCGCAATGCCTAGATTGTGCAAAAATCTGAGATTTTATTTTTAAGTGAAAACAGATCGATGTGTACATGGACACAGAGTTTGTGCAATTCTTTGACTTTTTATTTTGGTTTTGAGTAGCGGCCATCTTGAAATTGAGCCTTCCTGGCGCCGATTTTGGCGTCAAAAAAGAATCGCCAAAAAACAAGGGGCACCCAATTGTAAACTTTTACCGAATTTTCTTCACAAATTAAAAATATTTTTTACTACAATATAAATATAGATAACTTTGGATACCGACTTGGAAAGCTACGTAAAAATACTTACTAAATATTTTTCTAAAAATTCATAGCTTTAACTAAATTTCTTTTCCTTGCATTATCTAGTTGGAAGATGGCGTTTGGAAAGCCTCGATGATATGGCACAACCAGTGGACGTAAGATGTCAGAGATGTACTGATCTACGTTCAAATTAGCGTCGATCCGAACTAGAGATGTGGGTGTCGTGTACACAATGGATGGCCAAACCGTCACACCAGGTTCAGGGCAAAGAATATCTAAGGGCAAGGAATCTCTAAAGATTCTTTGTTCAGGGCCCCTATGCCGATATCGAATGCAAGACGGTGACGGGCGGTCTCCTCGGAGGCTCCAGACACGTATATGACCACCAGAATACTGCACGCAGAACAGAGACAACAGGGACGCATCTGAAAAGACGACTGTTTGACCCTCTTGTATCCAGCTCTGTCGTTCGGCGCACCAGAATCGCTATCTTCCTCTATACTGCACTGTCAAGAGAACCCGAAGTAATGAGCGCAGTGTTGATAGCTCACGCTGCTGCAAACGTCGAATAACCCTACTAGGGGATACTGCGCTTGTTGCAAATATGCCCATTTCCTGACTAATGGTCCGCGATGTGGTCGTACGGATTTGCAGGGCTCATTTCACAATATGTCTGTCCTCTCGGGCCTTAGTCATGGGTGGCCTGCATGTTGTTCAGTATGACCCTCAGAAAGCCATTGATTCCATTTTCGCAAGACAGTGGTTGACGAGCGATATCACGGAATGATAATCTGCATTCTCGATAGGCAACGATCCTGTCTCTGTCGAATTCCGATACTTAGTGGTAAGCATTTCTTCTTATTATTCAAGGCTTAATACGATATTCTGAGCAAATCCCGACATTACAAAGCGCTTTCCGAATGAGAAATTCACTAAGCAACTTTTCTTTTATACGGTGCTTCAGATGTCGTTTCTCTCTTCTGCGTCGTCTAAATGCGCTGAAATACTAATCATTTGCATATTCCAACCATTTCTTCCTTTCATATGATTTTGACGTTCGTCAGATCACTCCTTCTTGGTGCTGCAATTTTAATGGCCAGCAATGTAATTTTAAGTATTCGGTTTCTCTTTTTCATCTTTATGACTTCCACTTAAATTCCAATGAAATGATACTTTTGAAACAAAAAGTAAACTAATATACACTGTCTTTGACAGTAGTAAAAGAGTTATCACAAATTATTCAATATCCTTAAGAAAACAATAAACTTTTCTTTCATATTTCGGATAAGTAGTGCCTATCCTGACATCATGATTTTGATGTACGTATATCTATAGGGATATAAATCAATACATGTAGACTAAAATAGGATCAATTTTTATGAAGCTTTACCTGTTCTGTCGTAAATATTAAATCTACACCACAAGTAGGTAGTTAGCCATTCTGGTAAAGCACTGCTGCCTCCTCTTAAAGTTTCATCTAAGATTTCCCACATTTTCACCTGTTTAAAAACAGAGAAAAACAGAGACTATGAAAGATTAAGTTAAATAATAATATTTTCTGCTGAAATTTTGTTACATTTTGTTCGCTATATTTTTTAATCGAAAAGAACTTTCTCATAAATATTTAACGGGAAAAGTGCTTTCGCATTAAAAATGTCATCAACAATCTCGAAACATGTATGCTGTACAATACTTTTTGATTTCAAATACAAAATTCTAATACAGTTTGCCTAATTTGGTCACACAATTTAAGTTGGACGCTAATTACGTCTTCTAGATTTTAAATCTATTTTAAGCTTTTATGTAGCTCTTTTTACTTAAAAATTTAATCAAAATTTTACACAGACCCTTCATTCCACTTAAGCTAATAAGGCTTCTACCTCCTTTAAATTAATTAAGATATTATTATTAATTATTATTTTGGGGTGTTTGCTGCGTGCGTACTTCCATTCTTGTAATTTACTGCGAATGGACGCAATTGTGAATTATACATTAATTAATGTAAATTATGGAAATGCGAGTTTAAAAATTTAACATTTTGGTTATATTTAATTTTATCTCATATGTTCAGTAACACGAATCTACTATTGTGTTTCCTTACACTAGAATATTTTATTTTAAGCTTCAGATTCATTTTAATTGCTTTGAAAAATAACATTTATTTTTAGTTTCCGGTTATTAATTCGTATCAAATATCATTTTCGAATCTATATATTATTTTAGTTGAGCAATTTGTGTTAAATTTTGCTATAAATCTGATAACCTGATTTCTACGTTAATATTTAAAGTACGGATAAGTTCATAATTTAAATTCAAATTCTTTCAGCAAGTGTATGATAACCTTAAGCATATTTTTAGGGATTTCAAGGAATATCCTGACAAAAGAATGTTCTTAATCAGGCAAATATATACTTTAATTAATGAATTAAAATAATAAAGAAATCTAATTCAAAAATTTAATTGTAGGGCTTAGTTAATAAAAAATATTTTTATATTAATTATGTTTTAGCCTTTTTACTTTTCTTTCGACTTTCACTCAATGTAGTTAGGTTTATGTCTGAAATAACGATGTGGATAATATTTAGAAAAGCCTAAACTGGCAAAATTTAATCTTTTCTATATAAACTGTTCACGAACCTCTGAATCTTTAATACGGTGTGCTAGAAGAGAGAGAGAGTGGGGTTATCCAAAATCGTATCGATGAGGGATCTCATATTCAATGGCTTTGGATTATCGCTCCGCCAAAACCGTATACTATAGGCTCACAGAGTAACGGTACTCGTTACTTATACAAATACACATGGAAATGGTTAACGTGGCCGATGAAAGTTTGTAAACGTGTGTTTATTACCAAATTACCTGAAGACTGAATCTTTCAAAAAAGTTAAATGTTTCTGAAGCATTTTAGTATTAGCGTAATGCTAAATTCTGAAAATGTGTTTAATTTATGATAGGGTGCATATGTATCTTTAAAGTGTTTCGCAACTACTTGTAAATCTGCCTGATATGTGATTTAAATATATGATAGAATAAATTATAATGGAGCATATATGTCAAAATATGTACGTAGAGTTTGTAAGCAGCGGTACGGCTGCTTGGAATAACGTAATATGATGAAAATCTTACATAAGTGTAGATTCCTTTAAACTTGTAATGGAACTATTTGGAATAAAGTAATACGAAGAATTTTGAATATAGATATTCAGCCACATTTATAATATCAGAATAATTATTCATCTAATAAAATACGGAAATTCAATTTTTCCATCTGACTTTCACTCGCAAGGAAGATATTTTAGAATATGTTCTGCGTGTTGGGCCTTTAACATTTCGGGATGTAAAATCTCTGGATGCATATGTTGCAGGTCAGGATATTATAACATTGAAATCTTTTGATTTTCAGACGAGTTGGGACAGTGACGTGTTACTGATGCTTTACTTTTTAATGGTCTTTGTGTTTCTACTTTCAATAGCAGCCAACTTTTACTATACACTTTCTTTCAGTCACGTAGTAAAAATTGAACTTTTAGAAAAAAAAGATGATTTAGCTTCCGTTGATTTCTTTTTTATACGAAATGGCTTTTTGAAACGTGGATTTGCAGACATACCCAGACGTAAGACCACAGCATTACAGCATTATGTTTGGTGACTATGAAAAAGATTATAGTTTCTTACGCTTAAAATTGATAAGGGTAAAATTTAATATATATGAAACAATCTTGAAGTAATATTTCAGCAAGAGTTTACAACTCAGCAATATTCAAAATGAATGCGATGACTTAGTATTCCATAGCTCGCCTTCTAGATCTTTTAACTTTAACCCATTCAATAATTTTTACTTTCAAGCGATAAAGATAATGTATAGGTGTTATCTTTCCCAAGAAACAATCGTATCTCAAAAATCGTATTTTTATTACTATAAGAGAATAATGAAGGATATATTGGAAAATGTATAACCAGAATTTGATTGTCATATTTACACTCTTTGTGTAACTTAAGGAAATCACATAAAGCACTTTTCAGCAAATCTTGATTAGAACCTTAATCTTTCCATAATATTCCACGTTATTTTCTGCAAATCCGTAAAGCCTTTGAAATTAATTCAGCTATTTTATATACCCTGGTATTCTTAGCTGCGGAGTAAGCTATGATTCTATTCTTTTAGGGCTACCATCTGTGCAATATTCAGTAAATTGTTTTCGGTAATTTTATTCTTTTTTCCCACTCGCGTTTATATAATCGTTAAAAATAAAACGGAGTACAAATATTTTCTGACAATATTTCCTTTTATATTACCTGCAAGATCAAATACAGAAAGAGAAATAGTAAGCTTTGTCATCTTCATGCAGAAATTTTCAAAGGTGAATACGTTAAAAAGCATTTTAAATTTTTGATCTGAAGAACTTAGCGAACATATTTTTACCCATTCCTCAGCTGTGACAGCATCATCTTCATCTGCATCAGCTTCAGATTTTAGGGATTTCCAGATTGATCTAAACAAGTCTTCTGTCATTTCATATTTCTCCGAGTCTGGAGCCCATCCATTGAGTTTGCACACGTACTGTAGTCAAAAATAGTGATATAGACTTTGTTAAAAATAAAGATTTTTAAGCATGAAGTAGAAATCTCAAGTTTATATACTCGTTATTTCAATAAATATAAAATAATGCAAAAAATGCAATTTTGCACTAAAGTTATGTTTATTACTTATGCTTTTCTAAAGTAAGTGAACATTACTTGTTGTTGTCTGATTGCGCTAAACATGTGTAGCGCAATCAGCATGTATTTACACGTGCTTAGCGCTTTAAATATCAATGTCTGATTTCGCTAAGCATGTTTACGCATGCTTAGCGAAATCAGACATTGACATTAACACAGTAGCAGAAAAAAACGGAGGAACAGCTATAAAAGGTTTCTTTATATCTTCTGTTCAGTGCAATGAAATATAAGTCTAAATTTAATGTTATCACGTAGTCCAATGGGATTCACATTCGCTCTACAAATATATGCATGTTTTTTGTGCCTATTCTTTCCATAAGTTTGGAAAAAGTGCAAGAAAGTGTTTCAGGTTATAATGTAAAGTACGAGTATTTTGTTAAAATTTTCAAATGTGGAAAGTGGAACATTTCCTTGTGAAGGCATTTAACAGATTGTGAGAATTAGACTGCAGATGAGAGATGAAAACAGGACAGACACTGACACAGAGTGCGTCTTGCTTTTATTCTCTCACTTTTAGGTTTGAAAAGACTTAAAAGTAGCCAGATCATCATGTCGCTGTTTAAAGACACTGGTGACGTATGAAGAAAGTTAGATCTAATTCGAAACTTTGCCACAACAGACTGTCAGGACAGGAAAGAATTACTAAAATGAATAGCTATTTTACATCAGCCCAGATTGCAAGGGAGTTCTCTACAGTTACTGAAATTATACAGTCTAGGAATACCATAAATATTAAACGGCATAAAAGCGGGAACCCATAACTTCTACTGTAACTCAGGCTGTGAAATGAGCTCGGTTACAGATGTGCTGAAATGATCTTGATTAGAGTACCACCAACTGCAGCCGAGTTCTCTTTATTGAAAGGTCTCATTTGGAAAGTGATCCTAGACTTGTTTCGAACGCACGCAATAAGCCTAGAATCACTGGTCAGAGGCGTTATTACGTGGTGGTGAAATATTGGTATGGATAGACAACATTTTGAATGGCTGTATTAATATAGATATTTTTAACAATGCAAGTATGGATGCTGAACTATACAGAGATGAGGTTCTTCAGCCTTATGAAAAACTGTGTAGTGGTGCAACGGGTATAACTTTCTCCTAATGGAAGCCAATGCTTGTCATAATCGCGCTATACTAACAACAGATTATCATGAGGGCTAAGAAATCCTGCGTATGGAGGAGCCTATAATATTCTTGAACCCGATAGACAGCATATGTGCTGGACGCAAAAGAAAAGCGTCGAAATGCTTGCAGTTTGTTCAGGACGACCGCATGCTTTAATAATTTTTTATACATCTCTAAAATGTTGTAACACTAACTTTTCGCTTCACCCATTTATATCACATTTCTTATGTTCGTATTTAAATTTAATTTTTTTGCAGAAACAGACAATTCTGCGTTTTGAAGAATTGTCAGACAACTTCTTGTAGAAGTTTTCTGCTCTTAGTTACAAAATTATTCAAATTACATGAGTTTTTAGAGTTCCGTCTTTAATTTTTTCTCGCTTCCTTGAAAGTGACACAAAATTTATTTTTCAATAACAATTAAATAATTTACGTCTATTGCTTGTGCGTGCTCTAGCGCATGCATAAAATGAGAGAAATATCTGTAGAACTTCATTCAGCTGGTTCCATTTCAGAATGACAAAGTGTATTTATTTACGTAAGTTGTAATTGCTTTTAATGTAGTCTAACTACTGGATCTTTGGAGCTCTGGGGATGGATTAGAAGGTAAAATATATAAATAAAATTTGTAATTTTATGTATTTAATGCTGTGCCAAAAACATATTGGGACAGCAGTAATTCCATCAAATCTTTAACTGCACGAAAAACATGACCAGAACTAGCTGTTTTTCTCCAAATTGTGACGTCGAGAACCAGTGGGAAGGCTTTTATTGAACGATTTCTAAACAATGGAACTCAAAAATAATTAGTCTTTTATATAAGTTAAAAAATAACAGTTTAAAGAGTACAGTGATCTCTTTATGAAATTCGATATGCTATCATGATTAGGTTCTTAGATTCCCCGAAACGTGAGGTGGTTATACAAAAGATATACTTATTGTTTAATTCAGTTTTGGAATTATACGTTTTAAGGTGCTAAATTTGTACAATTGATAACATATTCATGAACTGATTATTTTTCAGTTAACAACCCAAGCAAATTATTTTACACTTCTCCTAAAGTCTGAAATAGGTTACTAACATATTTCCATACCTCTTGAACCATAAAAAAATCAGATTCCGTTATAACTCCGTCTTTGTTTAAATCTAAAAAGAAAATAAAAATCTGATTAACTAGAAACATGATTTATGATTTAATTTCAGTTTACATCAGTAATAAATATAATACCTTTTTTATGAAAAATTCAACTTCTATTTCAATATATAAGTCGACATAGTTAAGGTTTTAAAGAAATATAGACTAATTTAAAACTTTTGGAAAAGTCTCATTGAAAAACAGCTTTAGCTTCTTTTTAATGAAATAAGACCCAAACAGAATAATATCTCGCTGTTTAATAAATTGCTGTCTCACTGTTTCTAAGTTTTATGAATGTTTTTTTTTTTTTAGTTTTCTTTCGTTCATAAAGATTTTTCACAGATGCCCCGCAAATTTATAAAGCCAATGAACTATACATGAAATACAAAAAATAGCTTTAATAATAAATAAAGAGTAAGATAAAAAGTGGTTTTTAATACTAATAGCATCAATTGCAAGGCACTGCAAATACAGTGAAAGCCTGTTAGAACTTATATCAGTATTTGATTTCGCAGAAATAGTTCTGTCAACATTAATAAATCAAGCTTTTGTAACTAGGTATAAGAACATCAGAAGATTGAAGTTGATCAGAAGCTTTCTGTATTCAGAGTTCTTTGCCTTTTATGAGTTACCAACAGAATTTATAGTAAACGTTATCTTAAATCATAAGAATAATGTACTCGCGATTATCCAGTCTACAGATGTACAAGAGTGTGCAAAAAACAAACACGCGCAAGTATGCTATAAACACTGTTGAAGTGAGTCTTTATATTAGTTTCAATGAATGCCTCTTAACAGTTCGTTCTGTATGTGCTTAGTCGAAGAAATAGTTTTGGTTGATCACTGGGACCTTTCTGTTTCGTAAGTATTTTCTTCTTGTTCTTTTAAAAATTAATTTAAAATTTAAAAATAAAAATGTCAATAACTAAAATGCTTCAAGTACTAAGCTCAAGAAAGTTGTTTTAAAATGAAAACAAAATTTTACATTAATGGAAAGATTTGAACATGGCAAATGGACAATAAAATTCGCCAAAGAATATGGAATTATCCCACAAACTGTTCGTAATACTGTTTAACAAAAAGCAAAGTTAGAAGCCTTCACTAGAGATTGTGACATTACGGCTGTTCCTTCTAACCGAAAGTGCATCAAACTATTAACATATCAAAAAGTTATATTCAACTATGTTAACCAGGTCTGGCACGAAACGAGGAGTAGTTTAACGTTTAAAAACAATCTAACCTGCAACATCTACTGCTATTGATAGAGATCCAGCAAGCCTGAAGCATCTCTTCAGTGAATCCAACAAATTCTCTTAGTTTTATTGAATTTCTGTAAGTTTAGTTTAATGCCTCAAGTCTGTTGACTAAGCAAAAGGACAAGGAACATAACCATAATGAACACACAATCTTAGTTTAAGTTTATTAAAGGCAGCTACAAAAGGCATGCACAAGTGTAGATTGTCTTGAAGATTAGATAACTTGAGCCAGTATATCAGAATTTCAATTAATACGAGATTTCCAAAGAATTTCAAATGAATGCTGGCCAAACAGGAAAGTTTGCTTCATATATTTATATTTTTTCAATTTGATAAGAATCATCCATAGCTTCAGGTTACCTGTATTGCAAAGAAGTTTTTCGAATACGGTAAGAGAGTGAAATCTGCGATTTTAAAGTTATACGATTCTAGTTTTGCCTGTTAACGATAGACCTTTTCCAAATTTATTCATTTTTCTTCCTTCTCTTCCAGTCAGCATGATAGCGAAATATAAAACTCGGATGTGCAGCAAACATTCTTTGTACTTGTACTGTTAGACGAGCGGTCATTAGATTCCGATGTGATATGTGTCACAGCAGCAGACTAATTTCTAATACTACTCATAAAGGACACACTGAGACTACCTGGATAGTGAATGTATTCATACATAAGATTTTCAATCGAGCATTAGAAGTTTTCATCTATTTTACATGCAAAGTCTGGTGGCATGCCGTGGAAATCCGTGGAAAACTCATAAAATATGGCAGTACTGATTTGCATACTACTATCAAGAAGTGTCTATGCATATTTAATATTTATGGGGACTAAAATGATATTTTAACATATCAGAAACAGAAACTTGGCTTAAACGTATTTTTGAAACATGTTTATTAATAGCAAAACACCAAAATGTTACAAAAACAGTTTATTATTTACCGAAAAAAGTTTGATATTTGTGACTTGTGGTAATGTATCACATTCTAGACTGAATTAACAAAGGGGTGTGAGTACATTGAGATACTTTTAGCAATAATATTCAGTGGCAACAATCTGGAAAGTGAAACGGACATTTAAAGTTTTCAACGCAAAATGCCAAAACGATATTAATAGCCCTTCTGGGCTAACGCCCTTTGGGCTAATAATTATGTCAGCTACGTATGTTTTCAGTGTTCAAGCAGATTACATTCGTTTCTCCTAAGATATGTAGACTTTGGAAGCGGTTAGCACTTTTTTTTGTTTAAACTTTCTAAAAAAAGCGTAAAAAATGAAGAAAAAAAATTTAAACGGTTCTATCGAAGGTATTCGTACAATTCGTTATATCCGATTTTTATACTTTTGGAGTTTCGCTGCAACATCATGAAGCGTATATGAGCGGAGGGGACCGAAAGGTCTAGCAATCCGTTATAAACTGGGTTTATTAGACTGTAATTATTAATTAAAATGTTAACATTCATTAACAAGGTAATAAATTCCCCAAGAAAAATCACAAAAAAAGAGAAGAATTGAATGCTGCTTAAAATGCAAATATTGCTTTCACAAAATAAAGAAAATTTAAACTTTGTAATACCACTATTATTTGACATGGTAATGGTTTTTAAAAAATTTTGTAATATTGAAATATGCTAAAAATTTTAACTTTCAGTTATTACAGCAAATAATATGTAAATTTTAATCAAATAGATCATAATCTTGTTGCTTAATAGTGTTAAAAGTTCGTCGAATCATAATACTTCTAATTAAAAACACTTAATTTAGAGAATAGTTATATTAATGCCTGTTTAAACAAAAAATCTATGAACATCGAATTCAAAGTTACTTGCCATAAAATGTGTTAAATTCATACAGCAATTTATTCTTCCGGAATTCGGATAAGGGAGCATTATTCTTTTTTATCTTGCTAATGTCCTGACCCATTTTGGATTATTTGCATCTGTTAAAATATGAAACAAAATAAACACATATTTAAAAATTTAAGAATGCATAGTAAAGATAAAAACTGTGTTCAGTAGATGGCAGCACTAACAAACATTTAGATCGTGAGAAGGCTAAGATGAAAACTGCAATGACATTCGTATAATTTTTTAGTAGCTGCTGATTGCTTTAAAGATTCGAAAATAAAATAAAGTAAGAGCAATAATAAAAATAATAATTACCCTAACTTATGGTTATGCTGCAATTTATTATTCTGAATTAAGGAACTTAATAGAACAGACCGAGCTCCAAAATATTATTTAAGTTTCTATGCGCTAGTCTGAAACTGAAATTGCATGCAGACCAAATGCACGATATGAAAGTAGTTGACGGAACGATTTTTTTTAAATACCAAAATGAGGGGAAAAATAAATTAATGAAACAGAATTTTTTTAACTAAATTTAAAATTTTATATTAAATTAAATATTTAACAAAATTTAGCATAAATGGTAATAATACCAATGAATCAAAGCAAAAAAAAAAAAAAAAAATTCCAATTTATACTTATTTACTGTTAAAAATCTAAAGGTAGGAAATCCGCAAGAAATCTTTGTTGGTTAAACTTCTTAATTCAAACGTCTTGATTGCTAGATATTAAATTTTCAGACATACATTTATTTGAAATATTTATAATGCGTTGAATTAACCATAAAATAACTTTCTTTTAAATTATTTAAATATAAACAAATTACGAAAACTTTCAAAGTGGGCCAAACCTTGAGAACAACCTGTAACCTTTCTATTATTTAATTAAATTATTCTTTGACTCATAGAGGGAAAAAAGAACATATATTTCAAGGCCTTACTTCTTACTACAGATTTCATATACAACCTCTCATGGCTTTCAAGTTCGATAAAATTTGCAGCCTTGCAGAAAAATACTGTAAACTATCTGTATCACGATCTATAGCAGATAGGAAGCTGATAGATGTGTTTTGTCTAGATTTATTAACTCAACGGGGGGAACAAATTATTTGCTAATAAGTTTTCTCAAAGAAAGCAATTATTCTTATTGCAAAAATTCGTAAGTAAGGATATTTATCTTTTGAAAAATAAGAAAAACATTAATCAAATCAGCATCTTCAGATATCTCAATAATATTTATATCACAGTGTAAATTAATTCACACCACTTGTAGATTTTCTCGAAAGTTACTCACGTCCGTTTTAAATTGTAATGAAATTAAGGTAAAACTAAACTCAAAAACATTAAAATCTTAAATTTTTCTTAAAGATTTTGCCATAATAAATCATAATGCTAATATTTAGGTGAAATGTATTCGCGGGCCGCGTAAAATTGTGTCGGAGACTGTTGTGCCCCATGGCTGCTGCAGTTTGAGACGGCAGCTCTCGGTCATATGTTAATAATAAAGTCGTATAAATAAGTGACGTTAGTAAGTTAATACAAGCGATATCTTTCCTGTCAAAACAACCCAAAATCAGCCATTCGGCGGCTACCAGCATAGCCCGTGCTTGTAGGTGGCTTTGAATTAGTTATATTCTAAATGATGTTGACTCGAAGTATTATAAATTGGTTCAGCTGTAGGTATTATTAGTAAAAAAATATATATTTAATTTAAATGCTTAATAAATACGCCGTTTTTCATTAAATTCCTACATTAAGGATATGAAGGAACTTCGTAATTAATTCCGTAGGCTCATTAAGGAACGCATTACTCCGATAGCAACCGTTTAAGGTTTTTGTTAGTGGTGCCATCTCTCGAGTAAAATATCGTCCACTTATCGGAAAGGAAAATTTATCTGTTCGAGTTGAGCCAAGTTTTATTTCTAACCTGAATATTTGGGATTTCAGACCAAAGTATATGTATTATCCAAGGGTAAGCGAAGAATCTGCTTTCTGCGCTTAACATACAGTTATAAGACATCACGAAAGTTCAAGTAGCAATAAGAAGAAAGAACTGATAATTTTCTTCAAGCTTGAGGCATTAAGGATTTTTATACAACGCGTAATAACCTCAATTCTTACTAGTCCGCGCAGGACTAAGCTACAGAAATTTTAAACGTTAAATGTGTCATAAATTTACGAGCTGAATCTTGCAACAATTTTTGATACATATGTACCTGCACATTAAAAAATGTATGATATAATATTAGCCAGAGCTTAAATTGCGCCGGAGTCCAAAGAAGCCCGGCACCGGTAGATCTCGGTTTCTGTGGTAAATGACGATTCTAGCCGGATCGCACCAGAGCTCTATATAAAAGAGCTCCGGTACATTTTTTATATAAATGGAACACAGTTTCAGGGGGAAAATTTTATTTTAAAAATTAATATGCGTTAAAAATCGATTAGAACTTCCGAATACATGCCTGTTTTCTCTGGGGAAAAATGGACGGAGATGTTAATACTTTTAAGGAAAGAAATTTCCCCTCTCCACATATCAAAGGCTTTGTTCCCAAATTACTAAAAGAGAATACTTTGATCGTGCATGTCCAGCGCGCTTCTCATTGACGAGCTTTGCAGAAGTAAACATGTCACCAAATACGGGATAAAAAAATTGTCACACGCGCAGACCTTACGTTTGTTCTCATATTGATATCGCATCGAAAATTTGGGGGAACTCTTTTTGCCCATTCGCATTCTTCTTGACAACTAGAATTATATCACCTCGGCATAGTCCTCAGAGAGCGTAGGACTGTTCTCTATTTTCGATGTTATATTCCTTCATTAAATTTCTTTTCCTACTGTATTCTCATTAGTGTGGCTTTAATTGTTTTACCTTTCTCCATCTGTGCGCTGAAAAAAGAATGATTTTTGTTTCTCTCATCCCTTGAAATAGTATATTATACCGCATATTCTTCAGGGCTCGAACTCAGCCGGAGACCGGCTAAGCTATTCTGAATGATACTACCTAAGTCCAATCGGAGCTCCAAATAAGGTAAGGCAAATATTTTACTCCTTTTGTTTAACTATTTATCATAATTTAATAATTTATTACATTTTTATTTATATCTTTATATTTTACTGAAATTTAATTTAATAGTTTAATTATTTTAATTACTAGTCATTCGATTATTTTATTAGTTATTTTGTTTATTTACTTTCCCCATTATACTTGACGACCTTCCATATGGCTCCAGCACCTGATATTAGCAGCAATAAAAGTAAACTAAACCATAAAATATACGAGTTGCAGCTGTGGCCGTTTTGCAACTGCTTTCAGCCAGCACACATCGGCTTCTTGAATGCCGGTCAGGAGCGCTACTGATGCAAGCGATTTAAATTTTTATTGTTAAAGTATTAAATCTGCATGTGATAAAATATATTATCCAGGCTTGGAATAATTGTCTGGTATTCAGTTGAGAAGAGGACAAAAGACGAAACATTATGGTCATTTAACTTTGAAAATACTGAATTTTAGTATGATGCAAAAATTATTTCGATCCAATATGAAGATAAATCATTTGTATGTCAAAAATGCAACAGAATGACATACAATATTTTATAACTTTCTCTTTACCAAATAAAACAAATAATCTAAGATGAGATCAGATCTGTTGAAGAAAAACTGGGCATAATTACACTATATTCGGTGCGAAACGTTTCCAACTGATAAGACTCTGTTAAAATCACCTATTGTAGCGACCATTCTAGAAAAGAGTACTGTTATAGTAAAGGACTCGGACTCGGGCTCCAATCCCAGAGGAGGCATAGTTGTAATTATCCATCCCTTCATAGAAGTTAACCAGTGGCCCACCTGTTAGGTGCTTCCACGATAAAATGTCCACAATAAAGTGTCTATTCCGCCCTTAGTAGTGACCAAGCCAAGGTCGGGTAAGTGCCCGCCGATTGGGAAAAAAAAGAAAGAAAAATAGTATCCACTCGTTGTAACATAATTTTTCTTTAGGGTTACTTACGATCATAGACTGTGTGTGTGGGCAGATATAAAACTTGCTTCCATACAAATCTTTATATCGGTTAACGTCATTAAAACGGGGGTTATAAAATGCGGAAAGACTGCATTATAATTAATTTTGACAACAGTTTCATCGAACTAAAATATTTTATTAAGCGATTCTTCCGAACAATCGCGATTCGACTGAATACTACCACTGGCAGAAAAATAATATTTTCATAAGAAATAACGAAACAAAAGCAAGAAAAAAATTTTTTAACTGATATTAGAACAATTATAAATATACTAAAAGTACACTCGTGGGCAAAATTAAGAGAATTTGCATAGTATGTTGAATTTCTGAAAAAAAACTAATGGACAGATTTTAATAAAATTTATAATAGAGAAAGTTATATAAGATTCAAAAGCCATTTTACCGACGCATGATTGTCAGTAAAGCTCATAGTTCAGGGATGTCCAAAATACACGTTGTGATATCGAATGGTCTCCCAGTATGACGGCATAATGGACAAAAGGCAGTTGAGAAATCCCTGAGGCAGTCGATCCCACTCCTGTAGCAAAACAGTTTTCATTTCCGAACTGGTTCTCTAAAAAGGGTGACGAGATGAAGTTACCTTCCCAAGAGCGTCCCAGGCATGTTCTATAAGGATGCTTCCTGAGACCTATGCGGATGGACGCTGTTGTCCATTAACAGGAAACCAGGACTAATTGTGCTTCTGAAAATTGGAACATATGGATTTAATATTCTATACCTACACCTCTATCACCGCAATCATCTTTTTCTTGATGAGGAAGGAATGGTATCGTATTCCAGACTTTCTTTACCTAAAGATATCCCAAGAATCAGTGTCTAGGCTGAATCTCGACTCATGCATAAAAAGCACTGTGCTTCGTTGAACTCTGGTCCAAGGTGTATGTCATCTGCACCACATTAAACGCGCTGTCTTGTGTTCCGCAGTAGGCAGGGGGTTTATAGCTATATCTGGTATATAGCTATATCCCATGAAATTTTTGGCTAACTGTGCGCCATGAAACTCGGATTCCAGAGGCAGTATATGATATATGTGAAGCTGTAGCAGTCCTG